ACGTTATTGTCTTCGCCTTAAAGTGAGCGCCGGGTGTTTACGGGGGTATCGATGCGATGATCGACGACTTTTGGCTCAGAGAGAGAGAGAGAGAGAGAGAGAGAGAGAGAGAGCTATTATTAAAACTTATTTTGTATATTTAATGTATTAGAATATTACTATAAATAAAAATTTTTGTGTTAATATATAACTGACATTGATATTAATATTGTAGTTTCAATTTTATTACTCTAATAAGTATTAATGTTTAAGATTTTATTTTTTATCTAAATCAATAACATAATTTTTAAATATTAATATATTAGCTCATTTTAGTTTAAATATTATAAATACAAGTTATAATTAAATTGTCATATATTAATACAATCACAATTATTATTTTAGAAACTATACATGATTTAAATAAAACAATGTCAATGGTTAATTTTATTTGCAAATAAACAATGTAATTAAAAGTTATAATGCTGCATATAATTAAAAATTCCCTATTATATTGTATTTGAATAATAAGTTAATAAAACACAATTTAAAAGTGATTATAACAATATGCTATATATGATCTGCCACCTAGTGATAATAAATTAATTTAGATTATATATTTTTATACTAAATATTTAAAATGCATGTAAATGATAGAAATTAATTTCTAAATTAATATAAATTTCTCATTTAAAATTTTTATTAAATCATAAAAGCATATTGTAATTGACACGGATGTTGACAAATTATTTAATGACATTACAGAATGTTTTAGTAGACGCTAAATATAATTTCACCTTAAAACTTAACAAGCACTTTTTTATTACATAATTAATAAATGACCTAGAAATTTTAAAGTACATATAAATACGCTTAAAATTAAATTACAATAATAGTTATATTAAACATATAAATAACTAATATTTATTGATTTATAGATAATAATTAGTCGATCGGTAATGTTATTTAGTTGCTTGGTGTTTATGGCTTTAATAATTGACTATGGTCAGTCGGCACCGACATCACAACCAGGGTGTCTGTCATGTTGCTGTAGTTTAGGTGGCTGTGGTGGTGCCCCCTCAACACCATATTGTACACCAGGGTGTTGTTCAACAACAAAACCCACCACTGTACTTTATGAAAAATAACACAATTTAAAAATAATTATTTGTGATTAATTATCAACAACTTATCCAACAAGAAACGATATGTTATGCATTAAAGTTAATGTAAACTTTCTACATTGTAAAGTGAATTTTTTTTTAAAGTTTTAAACTCTGTTTTGTTTACTATTTATTTATTTGAATAAATTTATTTAATAAAATCTATTAAAAATTTAATTGGTGATTAATTTATTATTTGAGTGTAAAAATATTTTTAACTTGTTAAATCATGTTATAAATATTCTGTAATGTTAGTAACATAGTACCTTCTATTGATATACGGGCTACAAGAGTTATAAAATATAATAATAATAATTTATATTAAACGACTGTTTTATTTAAATAGATAATTATCTACTTAAAACCAATTAAATTACGTATAACTTAAAGAATATAATTATAATTATGAACACATTGATAGTAAATAATTTTTAAATAATCATTTAGTTAATTGCTCATAAAACCTGATAAAAACTTTAGATAATAACTAAATAATAACTAATCAATAATAATAATTATTAATAGACTTTGTACTTGGTAAATACATATAAATCAGAATGACTTATATTTAATGATCTCTCACATTTTGCAATGCTATAGTGATATAGATACTATACATACCACTTATGTGTTAGTCTTATATAAATGGACTTTATATGTATTTATAATAACAATTATATTAACCATACAATACAAATAACTAACATTTATTGCAATTTTGTAAATAATAATGAGTCGATCGGTGATAATATTCACTTGCTTGGTATTTATGGCGCTACTAATTGACCATGGCCAGTCGGCACCACCACCAGAACCATGTATGCCATGTTGCTGTTGGGCGGGTGGTTGCGGAGGTGCCCCCACAACGCCGTATTGTGCACCCGGGTGTTGTTCAACAACAAAACCCCCTATTATACTTGGTGATAATTAATACACTTTAAAATAATTATTTGTGATTAATTATCATCAACTTATCCAGCAGAAATAATATGCTATGCATTAAAGTAAATGTAATTTTAAATATGTTTAAAAAGCTTTTAAACTATGATTGTTTTCTAGTTATGTTTTTGGTTAAATTTATTTAATAAAATATTTTTGGTTATGGTTGTTTATTATTTGAATGTAAAAATATTTTTAACTTGTTAAACCATGTTAAGAGATTTTGTAATGCTATTTATATATTACCAAAATTTCTATTTGGTATAAAAATTATAAAATTTAATAATATTTTAAAAGTCTGTTTTAATTAAATAGATAGTTATCTACTTTAAACCAAATAAATTATTGTACTGTAGTTGTATTTAGAAAAATTATCCTGTGTAGAGAAATATTACGTAATTTATTTTTATATAACTATTTCAATGCTATTTCAATGATACGATTATAACTCCACCCAAATGTGCAAACTTTTCTAACATAGCGATCTACAATATACAACAATGCGTACCAATTTGGTACCTTTATATCTACATTTCACATAATATCCAAATAGTACATCGTGAAATAAAGTACTAAATATTCGGTCAATATGTCCAATGGCATTTATTAATGTTTTTGATTGCATGTAAATTCAATGAAAATTCTCGAAACACTGTTCAGTCTCTGAATGAATGCAAAAACACTGCGAAATAAATGCATTTTATATTTTTCAAACATACAGTGTGTGTGCACTGATTGTGTCTCATGTATATGTGTGCCTCATATAACTGATTAAAGTTATCAAGGCAAGAATATTCTGGACTTAAAATTAATTTTGCTATTTGTTTTGTGTAGTTATTTAATTGTTTATGCTTAAATTATAGTTTATTTTGTTATTTTGTGCTTGTTAGATTAAATCAGCTTATGTTATTTTTATTTCAATAGTGAGTAATAAATTGTGATTATTAATTTTTAAAAAGTAATAATATATTTTATAACGCTACTATTTATTTATATTATTTAATTATTAATTAATAGGGTATAATTAAACAAGTATAAATAAAAAATAAGTATAATAAATAAATAAATATAAAAGTGAAAAGGTAAATTTACTTAATCAACTATATTAATTAGTAGATTCATAAATTTAATTAAATATAAACCCTGTTTACGACAGATATAACTCGCATCGTATTTAAATCTAATGTGATACTGTATATAACCCGGATAAAAAATAATAACAATACAATTCATAATAAATCATAAAGCCACAATATAATAATAAGCTAGCTATCCCAAAAAACAACCTACATAAATAAATAACCATGGGAAAGGACTACTACTCGATCCTGGGCATATCGAAAAACGCCACGGTAGACGACATTAAAAAGGCCTACCGTAAGCTAGCGCTCAAATATCACCCTGATAAAAATAAAGCCCCGGAGGCCGAGGAAAAGTTCAAACTCATAGCCGAGGCGTACGAAGTGTTGAGTGATAAGAAAAAGCGTGATATATATGACCAGTACGGCGAGGAGGGCCTAAACGCCGGTGGAGGGGGTGGGGGCGGACCCGGTGGTCACGGGTTTCACGGGGGCAATGGTGGGCAGCATTTTTCGTACACATTTCATGGCGACCCCCGCGCCACGTTTGCCGCCTTTTTCGGTACCGACAATCCGTTTGAGATGTTTTTCAATATGGGAGGACTCGGCGGACCACACGGTCATCAGGGTATGTTCGGCATGATGCATGGTATGTGTGTATTTGCTTATGTTTTTTCAATAATATGACCATGATAATAATTGATAATAATGTGGTGGCGGTATTTATGAATTTAATATTTAGTTATTTAAATTATATTTATTTATATGAATATGCATATTTTGTATGTATTAATAATCTAGGTTATTAGTATTTACTTTACTATGATGATAATTTTAATTATTAAGTTTGTTTATAAGTTATTTAATTATTTTTATTTATTTGTATAAGCTGACTTTTTGTATGTTAATAATCAAAGGTTATTATTATTATCTATGATGATATAGTTAAATACAAGTTTAATTATAACTATTTATAATTTATTTGGCTTACAAGTTAGCTGATTGTATATTTAATTATGCTTATTCAGGCATAAAAAATAATTAGTAGACCAGGGTTATATTGACATTTTTGTAGCGATGATGCCCTTGCTATGATATATATTTAGTACCAATTATTGCATACAATTTGAAACAAAATTTTTTTGTTTTAAACTATTTTTGTTAATGGTTTTGATGAGTTAATCACATTTTCGATGCCATACATACTATTTGCTGGGTAATAAAATCCCATATTTTTGATAATAAGCATTTATTATGATAAGCAAATATTTATTTTTGTTTTACACATACTGTGTATGAAAATGAATTGTTTGTATAAAAGTAGTTATTTATTTGCTTATTGCATAATATATCTGAAAATAAATTAATTATTAATGCTATTATATGCCTTTGACTAAATATAGGTGCAGGCTCAATTGAGAGCCAAATTGTGTCAAATATCTGTAGAGTTATTCTCATGAGAATATTGAAGGAATTTTCCGATAATAATAATAAAAACTAATAATTTAATATTAAATTTCACAAAAAATATATACAATTCTCATGATTAGTATTTGACACATAATATTGAATAATAATAATAATTAAATATTTTGTATACGTTTGGTAAGGAATTTTAAAAATTTGTAAATGTATTCGTACGTAACATAATACAGTACTATGTTAATTATTATTCAAATAATTAGTTACAAAATAGTTTTAGGAAATTATTTGAAAATTATAAACTATTGTTTATTTTGAAGGCTAGTGTTTAATTGTTATACACTTTAGACCCAATTACAATAAGTGACCAAGGTTAGCTCCCTAATATAGGTATATTGTAGATTACACATTTTGTTTCTAAATTATGGTTGACTTTGATTTTATAAATATAATTTTTATGATTATTATACAGTGTAAATTGTTTGATGTGGTATTCATGTTTAGCGCCAATACTATAAATCATGAATTTTATTTATAAAATTGTTTATTGAAATATCGTGACAAATATCAAATATATTGCTGTATGACTGACTCAATACACTTAATAACTGC